AAAGGGGGATGATCCGCAGAGAAATTAAATTCTCGGCGTTTCTTTTTTCTGCTCCCGTCTTTCCTGCTGCTCTAATTCCTTGTGATGGTCTTCCTGCCCTAACGACACCGACTGGAGCTCTGCAGGGCTGCATGCAGATTGGCCTTAACGAAGAGGGCGGTCGGAAACTCGTGTGTGCGCCTTGTTGGCGGTGATGGCGCACGGATGAAAAGGGCGGCCTGTGTGATGGATGGATGGATAGTCTTGAAGGAGAGATGGAGAGGTGTGTGGGTAGAGACGGGGGGAGAAGGGGTCAGTGAAGGATGGGACAGCGGCGACACTGGCGTGATGAAAAGCCACCCGGGAGGCCCAGTCCGGTTTCTGTCTCTGTGACAGGCGGCGGGTCTGATATCCAAGCGAGGCTGTCAGTCAGAGAGGGAGACTGCCAGGTCCATCCATCCATCACCGAAGCTCAAAGAAGAACATGTCCCATGTGCTCAAAGCAGTTTTCTTGCTCCAGACTCAGGCAGCTATTGATTCGCAGGTCTGGATATTAACCTCCTCTTTGTCGAGCTTTGAAAAAGAGCTGTAATGCTCGAATAAAAGCAGAGTGAATGAATGAAACACTATTTCATCGACTTAACTGAAGTCAGTGCCAAGGTCCAGAGTACAATAAATATTACACTACATGATGTGAGCATAGCTACATCCAGCTGATGGCTGTGCACCAAGAGAAATGCTTTTTTAGGCAGGCGATAACCCTCCTTCACTGCCTGGTTTAGGGTGACCAGGTGCCCGTCTTTAAGTTTTACTGCACGGCATTTTTAGTCCTCCTCCTCCTGCAGGACATGCGGTTTTCTAAAGTCTGGATTTTACCCCGAACTATCAGAAAGAAAAAAAAGAGCCAACTGGCCACTTGAGTTTTTCCGTTCCCCCCCCCCCCCTTTGTTTTAGCTTGTTATCTTCATTGTCAAGATATTTCTTTATCTTTATTTTGCAAAGTAGAAAATTTGGTGAGAATGAAGCAGCATGCATGTGATAACTGGCTAAAAATGACTGAAATTGTCAGATATGAGTCAAATACGTTCTGCCAATCTATGGCTGCATCCCCACTGAAACCCAGGATATACAGGAGTATATAAAACCATTACATGATACCATGAGAGCAAACTTCAGCTTCTTTTTCTATTCTTCTTGTTTTTACTTAGCAAGAGAGTTGGTAAACGGGTCCCACATTTAGTTTGTTGGGATCTGGTCACGTTGACCTGATTTAATGTGAAATTACACGCGGATTAATGTAATCGTTTCGACAAATATTCACAATTCTGCTTTTAAAGGAATGTGTTGCAGTAAATCGTTGTTTTTAATATGAACACTTATCTGTAAAAATAAAAGTTAGTGTGATTTAAAACGTGCGTGGGTTCTTTGGACAGAAGTCTACGCGCGTTGTATCACCAAGTGTCTCCATATTTTTAAATACTCAGCTGCTAACTGAGCAATCATCTGTCTGTAGCTCTTTGTCCCTATAATTCTAAATGTCCCAACAGTGATTTATGTAACTGATAATCAATCAATCAGTGCATTGTTTTGCCTTTGGTAAAGAGTACTTCTAGGATTTTCAGGATTCGTGATTATTGTTATTTACTTTTGTATTTTTCCCCCATTTGCTCATATTGTGACTGTGTAGTCAAAACGGCCGAGCAGCTGGTCTGCTACCTGCAGTGTGACTAAAATGTGTCGTGTCGTCGCTCCTCTTAAGATCCTCTTCCCTCGGAGGTCGATTTGATTGCGGATAAAATAAAATCAGAGCTCGCGGATCCTGCCGTTAACATCGGCCTGCGTT